TATGATAATTACAAACGTAAACAAAAATACTTAAGTTAAAATCTAAGTTAATATTCAAATCTAATTTATTAGTTTAGGTATTTATTAATTTAAGAAATGTTGGGGGACCTATATTTACCTATAAGATTTTTGAAATATTATTATCTTATAAATTAATCAAAATTTTTCATTTTTTGTACTGATCCCGAATTAGGACCGAAGAAAAATATTATTTAATACAGGTTATTAATTAATAGGAAATTAATTTAGGGAGGTTTTACGCTCTTTCTCTATATATAGAAATGGAAAAATCGAGAGTCCCGTTGGCCATTTTTATGGAACCATCCCTTTTTTTCTTTTACCAATCAAAATTGAGAGTATAAGATGTAATCATGGGGTGAATAACATTATAAAATATCCTAAATTAATTGAGAAAATGGTCAATTTTTTCCGAAAGCTTGAAGCCAAATTCATCATCTAAATTTTAATTCTGGCCAATTTAATCCAATTGATGAGAATTTTGTTAGATTTAACATTTCCACTGACATTCCCTTACTTTGTACAGTTCTTTTTATTGGAAAAAAACTTTGTTGACCCAAAATTTTAACATTTTATTCCTATTGTTTTGTTATTCAGTAACATACGCTTTTCTTACCATTAAATGCACCTACATGGCCATTAAGGCGGCCAAAGGTGATGATAGTCGTGTTGGTGGCTGGAGGTGATAGTAGATACCCACTTTTATTGTATGTTTTTTTAAGATCATAACAAAAAACATGAAGATAGTGAACAAACAAAATGGATGCTAGATAACAGAATCTCTCAGAATTAATACTTGAATCATTTGAGTTAATGACAACATTTTCTGAGTCATTTTGTTGAGTATAGTAATTTTTAATTGCATTAAATTGCATCATACATTACATATGGGGTCTAATTCTTCACGTTAATTATAAGTTAAAAATAAAATAAATTTAGCATTTTGGAATACAATTTTGAACAAAAACAAAGATGTACATTAATCCAATATAAAAAGAATTTATGAAACATAAATGCAATGCATAATCTAATATAGAGAGTATAAAATGTAAAAATTATGGGGTCTACAAAATCTTTTTTTAATAAATAATTGTACAAAGTAACGGAATGTCAGCGAAAGTGTTAAATCTAAAGGAAATTTCGTCAATTGGATAAAATTAGCCACAAATTGAAACTTAGATGATGAATTTAGCCTCCCAAAAATCTTTTGGTTCAAATTGGTCAGACACTTGATGCTTTGGGCAAAATTGGCCATTTTCTCTAATTTTTTCTATTTAATCAAGTGATTTTAGGTATATTTACTTATGATGCACCATCATTTTAATCCTATGCTTGTTAATTAGCCTAATTAATCCTACAGTGATTATACTAAAATGAAATCATCCCGTAACGGGACTCTAGTCGCTCCTGACAGATATATACACGCAAAAAACCTGTCTTACTACTATCTATTGCACAAAATTGATGCCAGTTCCGTCCGAACAAAAAACACTTTGTTCCACCCCACGTGTTACACTTTAAGAAGGATCATGGAGACATTGATAAAACATTAATATATAGCATCTGATCTATAATCCATTTTGTAAATACTCCCTCTATCAAAATTTGTCATTTTAGATAATCAAAAAATCAATTTCATTAGGCCGTTCAAGATATCAAATCAAAGGAATTACTAACTTTGTAATGTTATCTTTAATAAATAGGGAAAATTTGGATTAAGCGGTAGTGGAGACTAAATAATTAATAGAGTAATAAATTTGAATAATTTATATTAAGGGCATAACAATTCAACCATACAAACATGACTTTAAGTTTTAACTATTAATAAAACCCTATTCACATCAATTTTAAAACCTTTAAAGTTCATTTAATCTTTTTTTTTTTGGTTAGCCTGATTAAAATAAAAATACTAAAATGATCAATGACCAAAAATACTTAAAGATACAAAATTTTTGATATTATCAAATTTGAAATTTTTTCACTAATATAAAATATGGGAGTAATTTAATTAACTCTAGTAAAATATGTTGTATGGCTCGTTTAAAGCACAAGTTCTGGGGAGTAAAAATTGACTAATATAAAAGTGGGAAAAAAATTTACTTACAAAATTAACATTATAAAAAAAAAAAATCTCCTATCCGCAATTAAGAATTATTAAAAAAAAAAATCTCCTATCCGCAATTAAGAATTATTAACCTTTATTTTTAAAGTAAACATAACTGTATTTTTTTCATCATTTAATACATTACTTTTTCCATATTGATACTAAAATATTATCATCATTAAAAGAATTAATTTATGTGTTGAAAAATAAAATGAGAAAACAAGATGATTTTATTTCAAGAGTTAGAGTCATGTTTGTTTAATTATTATGACAAATTATTCAAGAATATTGCCTCTTTACTAATTACTTACTCTCCACTACCCCTAATTTATATTTTCCATAATAAGGATAATGCCAATCCTTTTAATTTGTATCATTTAAAATTTCGATACACTTATGAGTGATATAAAAGTTTCTTAACATGCCAAAAATTAATTTCTAGCTAATTGTATTAATCTACGTGCAATTTTAAAAATGACATATATTTTCAAAGGAGTATTAAATACAACAACGCGAATGAATTTGGGTAAAACCAGGATGTAGGTGATTGATTCAACATCACATGATGGTTATCGAGAAGGTGCATGGTTGGCATACATGTGATGTTCTTCAAAATTTTTAAAATTCTTTACCACTAAGTAGGGGGATGGAACATTACTTGACATGTTAATGAGTTGGAACAATCAATATTTGAGAAACAAAATCGTGGCCAGATGAGCTACAAGTCTCTTTGTATTCCTTAGTCAAATATTGTTGTTTACCAGTTTTACAATCAATGGTTGACCTTGGTGATTAGATTTTGGTGGAGTTGTCAAACCAACAAAAATAAAAGAACCTACTCCTAAGAAATTTAGTAGTATAGCAATGAGTAGGGTCGTCTCCTCAGGGAGTAAGAAAATGAAAATATTTCTAATCAAAAGTAAAGTAACCAAATGGACGAATTTTTGGATTATAACTAATGGATGACAAAAAATAACTGGCGAACAATAAAAGATAGTTTTGGAAAATCAATAATAAGAGAAACTCTAGTCAAAGGAATAATTTCGACATTGATGTATCCAACTGATCATTGATGCAAAGATTAACTCAACAAATGATGAATATATTAGTTATCGTTGTTAGAACCTCCTAACAACTCAGTCTTTTTATTTAACTACCAGTGACTAAGAAACCTTCATTAATCACTCTATAGCCAAAAACACTACCTGGAACCTCCTAGGATTCAGTTTTCGACAAACAAAGACCCAACTCAATTTCTAACAAACAAACCTTCTTTCATTAAAAATTGATTATTTATTCTCACAACACAAGTAAACTACTTACCAAGCAATTATTTGCAATGTCTCTTCTAAGGAACAAACAAACCTTGTTGTTCAACAAATTAGATTATCTAGGAGAATTGAATGCTACCAGCTACTCAAATAATGCCAAATAATCATCAATACACATCAAAGAGAATAAATAAATACTCAAAATTCGTTGGTGAAAAGAAAACAGTTAGATCTCACAATTGAATAACATCAAGACTTCAATAAAATTCTTTAATTAGAAAAGAGGTTTTGTTGCTAATCATGGTGAAATCAACAACACAAGAATAGATGTTTGACATTACAGAGCTAAAACTGACGAAAACGGAGAGAAATCCTTGTTCTGAGCTTCAGCTGTCGCTCCCTGTGTTGTGCCTCTTCTCCTCTCTATCCTAATAATAAGAAAAAGACAATTTATATGCAAATTTAGGGCATCCCCGCATTCAGCCCGTTTAGAAATCGCAGTAACCAATTAAAGTTTTCAGAATTTGTAAATTAACCCCTAAAGTTTGCCAAAATTACAAATTGACCCTAAAACTTTAGAAATTTTATACTTTAGTCCCTGTTACAGCGTGCCCACGCGGGAACACAACGTCGGTTCTGGACTTTCCTGCTTCCTTCATTGATTTTGGCATGGAATTTGTGTGCCCACGCGGGAATCAACCACTTCTTCTCCAACTTGAAACTTGATTCAATAAAACCTTCAAAATCTCTTCAAAATCAACACTTTTCTTCTTTTTGTTCCAAATCCTTCCTATGATCAAATTAAGAACCAAAGTAATAACATTAGCATAGATAATATAATATTCAAAACAACACATAAACCACCACAAATATCATGCTAATATTAACATTATCAGATTCCTTGTAGGAAACGTGATAACGTAGAAAGAATCCGGAACAAGATTGAGTTTGGAGCAGCTGGAAGAGTGATAAATAGTTTACCGCCGGCGCATTGAGTTTTTTTTTTTCACCTTTAAAGTTCATTGTAAAATGGTGCTGGAAAAGTCAACATTCATAAATCTTTTGGTTTTATGTTAATAATGGAATTTAGATCAAACTACTACATTTCAATGCTTCTTCTTATATTAGTGAAATTTGCGGAAATCAATATACCAATATATATATATATATATATATATATATATATATATAAAGTTGATATACATAAATATATCGGGCCACATTGGAAACAGTCTCTTTATAATAATCACAAGGCTTTGTTACCAAATGATTGTGCAGTTTAGATTCTTATTATTGGTACAAATTATACTAAAAGTAAAAAAAACTCAAATAGCAAAGTAATGGAGAAAGTATTTTGATCTGAATATAATTGAATGAGCCAAATTGTAAAGCATGGTGAATCCCCACCCAGATTTTTAGGCAAGTCATCTGCTGCGATTTCTAGGTTGCACGGTTTAAATAATGTATGCCTTCCAATGGCCCGTCCTTCCCCTGTTCATGGTTTGGTGGATTCTATTTAAATGGCTGAAATTAAAATGGAAGGCAAATTAACCAGAACCAGAACCAGAACCAGAACTAATAAGCAAGAGTGAGAGAAAGAGAGAGAGATGGAAGCTGGTGCCAAGATAGAAATAATATCGAGGGAGTTTGTCAAACCCTCAACTCCAACCCCCGAAGAAAAGAGAGAGCTTAAACTGTCGTTTCTTGATCAACTTCAAGGGCTTACTTTTATTCCTTTTCTTTTCTTCTATCAAAATGAGCAGCCTGGAGTTGAGTCAAAATCCGAAACAACAACAACCACCCTGCGTTTAAAGCAGTCTTTGTCGGAGTGCTTAACCAAGTTCTATCCCTTAGCAGGCCAGCTCAACCCGGATGATCATCATGTTTCCGTCAAATGTGATGACTCTGGAGCACTGTTTATTGTAGCCAAGCTTGATGTTTCCCTCTCAGAAGCTGTCCAGAATCCGTCTCTTGAGAGTTTTGCGCAATACTTGACATTTGAGCCACTTTCCAATGATGTTACATTGTTGGGCAGTTACCCGAAAAATGAAATACTCCTAGCAGTACAAATCACTTGGTTCAGCTGCGGAGGAAACGCCATTGGCGTGTGCATATCGCATAGAGTTGCCGATTTCACGTCCTTGATCACGTTCATGAATTCATGGGCGGCCCTGAACCGGGGTGACAGTACCTGCTCGAAATCATCAACTGTGGTACCCGATTCGATGCAGGAAGGAACCTTTTTCCTGCACCTGAGATTCCTATCTGCCCCCCTCAGATTGATGTGCAAGGGAAAGAAAAGTACGTGTATAAGAAACTTGTGTTCAGCAAGGAAAAGATATCAGAATTGAAACAACTTGCAATTGCTGCTTCCTCCTCCTCCTCATCATCATCATCATCATTGGTGTTGAAGGATCCCACACGGGTAGAAGTCATTTCTGCTTTCATCTGGAACCACTTGATCAATGTGGCACGAGCTAAGGATCAAGCTGTTGGCGGTAATGATGACAAAACAATGTTCAGGATCTGGAATTCTGTGAACGTAAGAACAAGAATCAGTAGCTTGAATTCTTCTTCTTCTTCTTCTTCTTCTAATGACTTCCCTTTTGGCAACTTTTCAATTGTCGCGATCGCTTCCTTCACTCCCCCCGATGAGATTACTGCGGGAAATCCCGATTACTACCGTGATCTAGGTTAACTCACCGGTGATTCAATGCGGAAAGTAGATGAGGATTACATTTTCAATTGTGCCCTTCCTTTTATGAAAATCTTGGCCTCAGGTTCGGCTGAACTGGAGGTGGATATGCAGAAACCAACCATGAAGATAAGTGATAGGGTTATCACCAGTTGGTGCAGATTTCCGATATATGAAGTGGATTTTGGTTGGGGCAAACCTGTTTCGGTTGGCCCGGCGTCCAGTAAGGCACCTGCACCTGGGGTTCTGTTATTTGGCACAAGATGCGATGACGGAATTGAAGCAGTACTTACCGTGTTAGAAGATGAATTGTCTTTACTTCCGGATAAGTTTCTTTCACTCGCAACAACTAATTTCTTTTGACACTTAAGTCATCTCACTGATCAATCTTATGTACTCCTTCCGTCCCGAAATGTCCATCTAATTTGGATTTTCATTTCATGTAACAAGTTGTATTCAAAGTGAAAATTAAAACCAGTCAATCTTTTTGTTTTTTCGAAAAGGAAACTAGACAATAATTTAGAACAGAGGAAAATATCATTTTCTCGGGTCAATTGTATTTCTGCCCCCTTGACAACCCGTCGTGGTCACCACGAACCTTATTCCCCCTTAACCCAAAATTTGGCCATTATTGCAGCTTCCCGGAGCTATTTCACCTCTCCAGCACCCTCATTTCTAATTACGGTTCTCAAAACAGGAAGAGAAATTATTTTTGTCGTTATCGTTGGAGGTTAAGGTGGTGGTGGTGGCAGCGGTGTAAGTCGAAAATTAAAAAAACTACACTATCCAAAAATTTGTCGGCTGCTTCTTTGGCGCGGCCATAATTACATGGCTAATTTTCATCGTTAAAAAGAAAATCTTCAATTTTTGATCAATTGATATATAAGGCATCGAAAAATATTTGGGTACTTCCAAGGATGAAGATAGATTTAAGAATACTGGAGTACATTTCCACACTCAACTCTTGCGTTTCTAACAGTTGATGTTAAAAAGGGCACTTCTTATCCATTTTACAAACTTGAGAGACAAACCATAAGGGGGTTCATTAGATATTTGTTTACCGCAAGGAGTAATCAAGTAGTTTTGGATACCACAGTGGGGCAACTGGAGGTAAACGGACTAACCTGATCTGCACAAAAAAATTTACAATTAATCCATATACTATATAAACTTACCGCCTTTCTTGATTGTCGAACAAGGAACGGAGCCGGAGGATGCATACGTAAGGCTTCTTTGATAACTACTTTAAGATATGGTAAACTTCCTAAATCCTCTTCGGTGATCATGTCAACTGATTTCGACTTACAACGTGACAATTGTCTCACCTCATCTTTTAGCTTTGTCATTGAAGTTGGGTTTCTGAGTAACTCCGCAAAAGCCCATTCTAAAAGTGTATATGTTGATTCTGTTACACCAAGAATGATGTCCTGGATGTAACACAAAGTAAATTTATAATGATCATTTTTTAAATCAAATTCAGAAATATTATAAGGTAATACATACAGTAATAATTATTACATTACGGTAGCCTCCCCCCAAATTCCCATGTTTACATTAATCTGAGAAAGTCTCATTGAGATCAACACATTAGAAGATTATAATTAAAGAATTCATCACGCCAACTGTACCCCGATTCCACTCTAAAGTTTGACTTTGTTCCTAGTCTACAATGTGCATTTCAGATGGTGTGTAACCAGAATTGTCTTCATTTTTTGGAACAAGATGTCCAATTGGACCAAATATAATCAAATCACCAACGTTAATGAAGAAGATGTTTCGAACTTTTTGAACTTCATGGAGAAAATATATTGCATATAGAACCTTGAAGTGGAAGTTGGAGTGGGGTGTGATTACTGCAAAATAAAACAACTATCATTACTCCGAGTATATGTGAACGCGACGCTGAGCAATTCTTATACCGTACACTATGGTTCATTATACTTGGTGCACGGGCTAATTAGTATATTATAATTAAGAAACGAGCAATTAATTAAAACTGTAGTAATAAATTAATTAATTTCTCTTTGAAATTATCTCCCCATTTATACTTAAACGTATATTAAGAATCAATATCCCAATTTTCAAATATTCATGAATGACCACAATATTTTTCATGCTAGAACTATCTTATGTTCATGTCATATATGTTCAACTTTTATGACGTTAAATTAAAAATATGAAATTAACAAAAAAACGTTTGCTAATTTAATATCCATACTCATATTATATGATATTCATGAAAGATTATCCATTGTTCAAACAAATAAAAATATATTAATCAGGTCTTGTTTTGTAAAATATCAAATGTTCATACTCATATCATAGGAAATTTATTACTGAGAACTAGGTTATTCATGTCATGTACATCTAAATTTCATTACTTTGAAAGAAAAATCACAAGTGAAAATTTATGGTTTTTAATGTTATGTTCACACACACATATTGGACTATTCATAAAAATGATATAAAATGTTCACAAAAATTGGAAAGTATGAATAAATTAATTTTTTGAGTTTATGAAGTATAAAGGTTCATATTCATTGCAGAGAATATTCATGAATGCTAATCTCATTTATCATATTATGTGTATTTAAATTTCACAAGTTTTCATGACACTAATAAGATTAATTCCAAATGAAAAAAATATATATAAACACTATATTTGTACTAGTATAAAATATTGTTCATGGAAATAAGTTAAATTTTCATTAAAAAAAAGAAAAAAATATAAATAAATTATTTAGAAATTCATATAAACCTATTGAGAAATTCATGATTGAGAATCATTTTTTGCATAAGATAAAATATCAAGATTTCATGACTTGTGATAAATTTAAGTTTTTTCCAATTATCAGTTTACGTTAGTAATTATGAATATTAATTATTTTGAATTTAAAAATGTGATAAAAGAAATTAAATGTTGAGAGAGACTGGAGCTAGCAATGTAGTGGCAATTTAATTAACTTTCATTCTATAATTAGGTTCTATTAATAAGACAAGTGCACCAAGAATAGTGAACTTTGTCCACCATATAAATTGCTGACGCTGGGGGCCCCAAAATTTGTTCAAAATTAGCAAAACGCATACTACTTCTGTTTATGTTACATGTTCACAAAAGAAAATAATGATTGGAAATTTGGTTTATGAATGTATTACCTACATTTACCCTCATTAAATTTATTTATCGGAACTATCAAAATATAAAAAACATAGTAGAGAAGTACTACCTCCAATTTGTTTTTATTAGAATGTAAGAAGTTTTAAATTTTAAGGAAACATTAGATAACTTTTTCCCAATTGTCACATTTCCCTTTCAGCTAATTTACCCACAATATTTACTCTAACAATTATCATCAATGTAATAAGGTTAATTTAGTAAATCTCAAATAGATTTGAGACAAATAACAAAAACTGATTAGTTTTATTGGTATGTACAAAATTAGTTATTGCCATCTTATCAAAAGGAATGGATGTGGTAGTAATTGTCATTAATATCAGTTATTAAAAATTGAGAAAGATAAGAGTAAAATTAAAAAAAAAAAATGTTGTTCATGATCCATTGTAAAATGAAGTGCGACAGATATCTCCTCTGATGCTGACTTGGAAAAGAATAAAAAAATGGAGGAAATAGTTGAGTGACATAAATTATAAGTTAAAGGATGGATATTGGAGCTTACCAAAATAAGAGCTTTAATTGAATCAATATCGAGAGTGAATCCAAGGGAATTTTCCTGCTGGAGGCCAAGCAAGATATCCAAGAAATTTTGCGGCCTTTTGTCCTCTTTACAATCACCACCATTGATACTTGACGAGTCCAAATTAGTATGGCCCACGATTAGGCCGGCCCAAGTTCGGTAAAAGGTCCAACCGGCCTCTGGAAGCTTCTAGGTCGGTTCCTAATTACTTTCCTACCAAGAAAGAGTTAAAGGTACGCTCATGGTTAAAGGTACGCTCTACGCACCACAATCCATACCCTATTAACAATTAATCTTACTGACTTAAATATCGGAGTGTCTACCCTCGGGAGACCCCGAGCCCCTCTTTTGCAGGTTTTAGGGTTTTGACTCCGCCATGGCCGTCAGTTCAACCAATTAGAGACGTTAGTGCAAATCCATGCTTCGTCAAGTGACACGCCCAGTGGGACCCGCTAGGGTTTTTCTTCAACAAATTTCTAAGAGAAGGTGTAAGTACGAATCCCACGTCTCCTTCTATATCACCAGGTTTGGTGTACCTAAATTACATGGATTTTGGTATAATCTACAACGTGTATGCTTAAAATTTGAATCGGCTTCAAATTGTTTGTTCTTGGGTTTGGTGCGGCAAGGCACCAATAACAAATCACTCGGTTTCTTGGACATGACCTGCATGCTTTATGCTTTAGTGATTAATCGTATGTGTTTATTAAAAATCTTTCTTGTTTTGGGGTATCCTTGAGACGTCCATCATGCGTCTCTTTTAAATTTTGATGATGGAACACAAGGATCACGAATTAAATGCAAGTGGGGTGGCATTGGGTATCCATGATTCTTCCTTCTTCCCTCATCACTGTGGATGTTGTGAATCATGCACGCTTGAACAAGGATCCAGGTCTCATTACTTTTAATTACAACGTAATTTGCTACATGATGAAAACTTGCTTAAGGTTTTCTTCGGAAGTCGATTCGTTCTTTGTTTCGATAGGCCCAAGCACCGATAAATAACCAATTTCACGTTATGTCTAAGAATAAATTCGAGTTTTGACCATGCTTGGCTAACCTTTATCCATTTGATTAATTAAAGAGCAAGTTATGTGTATGCGGCATTAATTAACTAGGCTCACTCCAGATCTACACATACGATTATTCTTTTTGGGGAACATATTCTCTTTTGTTTTTCCTTCTCATTTGATTTGTCTTAATAGAAAGTCCATATAAAAAGCCTCAATCATCCCGAAGGCATAAATCACTTCTGGGATTTGGACTATCGCAACCCAAAACTTGTGGAACGAGCTATTGTCTTGTCGAAGTGCCGGCGAAATATTCCTAAACGTCAGGATAACTTGCCTCCTTCACACAAAATTGCTCGGTGTCATCAAGGAGTACCATTGCGATCAATTTAGTCTCTGAAATTGTCAATGCCATGTACACTCTTCCTCATCAGATAAGTCGTCTTACTATCTAATTTTGACAATGTCACTGTTTATGATAGACTTGTTTGAAGTTTAACTTCACTCCATGCCTGAGGGTTAACCTGAATTTTATGCGATATTTCGAGAACGTACGGCAACCTTTACACTGCAAAACTGCTGATCACAGCATTCTTTTATAGTTCTATTGCCTCCCGTGGATTCTTTTGATTCCGTGCCATGGATCATGGTTACCCAA